CACTGTGAGGCTGCACGTACAGCGACGACAGCGATAATGTGAGATGTTCGTGCTGAATGAGCAAGTGAAACGTACAAGAGGCACAATTTTTACCGGAGAGACAAAGTGAAAAGCATTCGATCTATTAAGAAGAAACTCACTGCTTCCAACATTGAATTTTTAAAATCTTTGCGTTTTACCATGCATAGTACCTGAAATGGCTAATATCTTGAACATTGGAGATGAACTAATCTTTGATGACAACATCGTCAAGATTGAGACACACGTACAATCCGTATGCCAATGCTACGTTTGGACACAGCGATGAAATACGAATACCCATACAACAGCAGGATTTATACACATTACTATGCGAAAGTTTTCTTTACGTCGAGGGAAAATTGGTGATAAAGAGAAAGAAGGAAGAGTCGGTGACAATGCTTGCAAAAAATTGCGTGACGTTCATGTTTGTTGAAATTCGATACGAACTCAACGGTGTGGAGATTGACCGCAACAGAAACGTTGGAATAACCACTACTATCAAGAACTATTTATCGCTAACGTATGGCAAAGCTACAATTTTGTATAATGCTGGATGGGCTTTAAAACCGCACATATCTGAAGAATACTTTAACTTTTGCGTGCCGCTCAACATGTTGCTGGGCTTTTGTGAGGATTACAAACGTGTGGTTGTTAACGCTCGGCACGAATTGATTTGATACGAGCGCGCAACGATAACAATTGTCTTGTAAGAGATGCCGCGACTGAGCCTGAAGTCGAAATACATAAGGTGCAATGGCGAATGCCTCACGTTATGTTAAACGAGGTCAATAAACTGTCCATGTTACGAACTTTGGAAAGCAGCCGATATCTGAGCGTGAGTTTTCGCTCGTGGGATCTGTACGAATATCCCTTGTTGCAGAGCACTACCAAGCATTCATGGGTTGTGAAGACTGCAACGCAACTAGAAAAACCACGATACATTATCTTTGCAGACTGGTCGAAAGAACGTGATGTCTAAAGATGCTTCTTTATCCGATAAATGTAAATTAACCAATGTGAAACTTTATTTAAATTCGGAATTTTACCGTACGACGACTTAAATCTAGACTTTAATAAAAACAAATATGCCATCCTGTTTGATATGTATGCTCGTTTTCGTAAAACTTATTACGGATGCACAAACAATGAAACGCTGTTAACTGTAGATTTATTTTTGGAGAATGGATCTTTCGTAGTCATTGACTGCACGCGACAAAACGAGTCCATCAAGAGCGCTACTGTGGATGTGCAAATAGAATTTGACTGTAAAAAAAATATGCCGGAGAATACTACGGCCTATTATCTCATCTTACATAATCGCGTGATTGAATATTGCCCATTATCCAACGTTGTGCGCAAAATCACATAAATTGTCACGTCTGCAAATATTCTCATCTTCGCCGAGATAAAAACTGCGATAATTCGCGAGAAGGATACAGTTTCGATGGATTGCTCGTCATGATTGTACCAACGTTTGTAAATCTGCAAGGATTCACCGTTGGGAAGAGATTTATCGTAAAAGAAGTGGCGGTCCTGAAAAGAGTTCTTTTGCATTACATTTTTGCGAGTCCCATGCCATGGAATTCTTTAACAAAATTCTGACAAGTCAGGCGCTTCCTGGTTGATTGCTTATCACCATGGATTGAGATGGGAAGACGGAATGATTCCGTACAGCATGGCGAAACGCCTGATTGCAACAGCTGTGTTTGGTGAAGAGAATGATACCGACGAGGCTATCGTATACGTTAAAGGATATCAAAAACGAAAATGGCTCGGTGATATGCTGGATGCGAGAGACGACGTAGTCATTGAAATTCTGGATGCTGATTACGAAGATGTAGTTTCTTTGAATAATCAAAGTGTTATTAATACTTGCGCTGTGGAAAATATGTTAAGAATTGCGCATTACAAAATGTATTTAAAATATATAACTGCTGATCACACCATCAATCAAACCAATAAAATGTACAATCGTACTATTATAATCAATGAAATGTGAAATTTTGTAAATTATATTTCGATTTCTTTCCCTTTCCTTGTGGTGAGATCGTACAGGTATATATGTATGTGGCACTACTACAGCATCGTGATGTGTGTGAGAATACTGACACGTTTATATTTATCTTTGACGCGGATAAAATTTCTAACTGGCTATGGTCGCGAACGAAAGAATAAGATTTCTTTGCAGTTAGAAACGATAATGGTTTGATAGAACAGAGGTATCGGTTCGATAGACTAAGTGTATCGGTTCGATAGGCAGTTCGATTGAACAGATAGGCGGTTCGACAGAACAGCTGTATTGCTTCGATAGGTGGTTCGATAGAACAGCGGTATCGGTTCGATAGGCGGTTTGATGATGGTTTCATACTATGTGTCTTCGTGATATTACCATGATATTGAAATGTGACGAATGCTGACACGTTCATTTTTTATCTTTGACGTGTATAATATATCTAACTAATGAAGGTCGTGAACGAAAGAATATGATTTTCTTTGTAGTTAAGACCAATAGCGATTTGATAGAACAGACAGACAGTTCGATACAACAGGCGTTCGACAGATCAGGGGTATCGGTTCAACAGGCAGTTCGACAGAACAGCAGTATCGGTTCGACAGATCAGCTGTATCGGATCGATAGGCGATTCGATAGCGGTTCCGTAAACGCCTTTTTGTAGTTAAGATTGTTAGCAATTTCTTACATATTCTTTATAGCTGCTATCACTTCGGGGGAGTGCGTGTGTGTTATATAACGTATATATCAATATCATCCTCACAATGCGATCGCGCATTATCATGTAGGAGAGATAATTATTTCTATGGCTTGCATTTTTACTCGAGGGTTCTCGTGGACCCTTAAGTATATTCAGTCAGTCGATTAACAGTCGTTGGGTCGAACACGAATATTAGTGCCTCTGTAAGATAATAAAATGCAGTGCATTAGTTGTTAGAAGTACTTTGTGCCAAGTACTTCTAACTATTGGTCTTCCGCTATTGTTAACTACCTGTGACTGGTGCTGTCGCAGGTACTGGCGAGTAGCCAGGCGCAGCATCCAAATACGATGACGAATTTTTGTAGGCCCTGGCGAGGGCTCAAACGCCTCCGAAGGAGGAGGGCCCACAGGAGAGCCCGCAGGCGAGGGCGAACCCGCGCGGGGTGGAGGCGCCGGGGGACAGCGGCGCGAAGAGCCCGCAGGCGCCGTGGAGCCCTCGAGAGAAGGCGTCTTTCTGAATAATCATCGATGTGGCCACTGGGAGGAGGGTGGTTACACATTACATCTAACGTAAGTATTTTTTAGATAGCTATTCTTCTTTCTTCATTTCTTTTGCACTTTTTTTACATTGCTCCTCCTTTGCTGATCTGTTGCAGATAGCGACAGATAGGCGGATTTGCCTTGGAATAAATTTTATTATTTTTTTCATACCCTTATTAACTAAATTTTAAAATAAACTTATTTTTATTTTAATCATATTCTTTTTTCTTCTCCTCTTCATTTCGCGTATGTGCGATAAGCGCGGTTGAGACGGTGAGGGTGGGGTGGCGGGCCTGCGAGCGTTGCGACGGCAGCGGCGGCGGCGAGCACGGACATCAGCGGCGGCGCGGTTCCCTCTTCCCCGCACACCTATAACGCGGCTCCCTCTTCCCCGCGCACCAACAACGCGGTTCCCCCGTCCCCGCGGATTCCGCACCCACGACGAGGTTCCCTCTTCCCCGCGATACCCGCACCCACGACGCGGTTCCCTCTTCCCCGCGACATCCGCACCCATGACGCGGCTCCCCCGTCCCCGCGGACCCCTCACCCATGACGTGGTTCCCCTCTTCCCCGCGGATTCCGCACCCAAGGTTAGGCCAGCCGAGCTTCCCGCGGTCAGGTCAGGCCGAGAATCACCTGAGCGTCTTCCCCCTCCCCGCGGACCCCCTGCCCCTCACCCCCCTCCCTCGGAACTCCCTAGTTAGAACCCGCCCTTATTAGCTACTCTACAATCTAACGATTTAAGCAAAAAAAAGAATTCGATTTTTTTAAACCTCCAGAGTGGTGTAATCCCTTAAGTAATCCACGACCCGAATTAAATTGAGAATGTCAGTAAAGCGTTCCAAAAAAGATTATAATTAAGAACGGTTGCGCGAGTGCGATCTCACGACAACCAAAAAGTAAAGCTGACGCGGCAACGCGAAGAGTATATGCACACGCGGAGATAAGGCGCGGGCGGTCAATCTATCAATAGTCAAGTCCGTGTCGCGTTACTAAATCTATTAAGCGAATATAATCGTTAACCAAATAATTATAAAAGATACATCACGACAGTGTCGAGAGAGAGTGTAATCATAAAGAAACCAAGCTAAATTAAAGTGAGAAAAATAAAAGTTCATTTAATAAGAGTGACAAAAGATGTTCAGTTTTATTGTGTTCCCCCGTAGAGCCGGACCCCGTTGTGCCGGCGGCACAACATTATTGGTGGCAGCGGTGGCAACGTTTTTTGGTGCGCCGCCCGGGAAGCAGCAACTGCACTAATAAGTATTATATACGATAAATATATATTTCTGTTGTATTTTAGTAATACATGGCTTTTATTACGTGGTTTGTTACAAGAGACAATTTTACACTTATTAACTCCGAGCGAGGAAATACTAAGAGAATGGTACTCCGGATTTAGACACGTGCTCTCACGTGCTCGTCTCGTGGTCGACTCTCCGCCGCGGTGGCCCTGCGCACCCGATTTCGTACCGACTTCACTTACGCCAATCAGCGTCTTACACAAGAGTTCGGCACGGGTTGCTCCAATTATCTGTTCGCAACTCGCGCTCTCTTTAAATGCCTATACCACCTCACGCAATACATATATATATAACATCTCTTCTCTCCGTAAATTTAACTTCAACCAAGCAAGTTAAATGAATTAACAATTAACAACATATTTAATGAATTAATGACCAAAACGATCTGGCGGTTTTCGATTCCGCACAGGCCGCTCACGACTCGCTACCAACGCTGGTACATCAGAGTCTCATCTGGTGCCTGCTCTTCCTCATCGGAGTCCGGCGGTATCTCCTGTACCGCTTTATGATCAGGACTCTGTGAGAAGATATTCGACGGTTTCTCTTTCTCTGGTGACGTGGGAGCTTGTTCGCATGTTTTGTTCATAACTTCGTGATTAATATTCGTATTCGTAATTCCACTCGGGCCACAATCTAACACTTGTGCCTGACTGCTCTCCACGATTTCTGGTCCTATTGCACGCATTTGATTAACATGTCGTTTCCAAATCGTGCCGTCTTGCAACCTAATATTATAATGCAATTTTCCTAACTTTTCGATTACGAATCCGAATCGCCACTTAATATTTTTATTCAAGTATTCGCGTACGGCAACGCTCTCTCCTACCTTAAATTGTTTAACATTTAAAAAATTACCTCTATCGCTCTTAACTTCTAATTCAGTCTTAGGGAATATTAAATTTAGTCTACTGTTTAAGCTTCTGCCAAACATTAATTCGGCTGGCGATTTTCCTGACTCCGGATGTGCCAATAAACGATAATAGAATAAAAATTTTTGTAAATTTACTTTAACATTTTTTTCGGTCGCACCTAATTTTCGCAAACCTTGTTTCATTGTTTGCACAAAACGCTCTGCTAACCCATTTGTAGCCAGGTTATAAGGTGCCGTGCACCTATGAAAAATGCCATTTTGTTCTAAAAAAAACTTAAATTCTTTTGATACAAATGTACGACCATTATCAGATACTAGCACTTGCGGTAATCCAAACGTAGTAAATATTTTTCGACATTTCTCTATTGTTTTCTCTGCATTTATACTTTTTATTAAATGCACCTCTGGCCATCGCGTAAAAGCATCTACCAGAATCAAAAAGTTGTGACTCATAAATGGTCCCGCAAAGTCTACATGCACACGTTGGAACGGTTCCGCCGCTGGTTCCCAACGATGTTTAATTTTACTACTAGGATTATTACTAAAAGTATTACACGCTTTACAATTTTTAACTAGCGTCTCAATATCTTTATCTATTCCGAGCCACCAGCAAAAATTTCTGCTCAAATTTTTCATTTTTACGCAGCCGAAATGGCCTGCGTGCAATTCTTTCAAAATACGCCCCTTAAGGGATTCTGGAATTATCACTCTTTCTTTTCTGAGTATAATTCCATTTTGTAATGCGAATTCATTGTCTTTATATCCTAAAGGTACAAGGCTTTTCCCTTGTTCTAATGCTTCTATTATTTTCAATAATGTTTTATCTTTACGGGTTTCTACCCGTATTTCTTTTGCTGTTACTGGTAAGGTTTCTACATTTTCAATCTGAAACAAATCTATAGGACCATATTCTCCTAAACGTTTCTCCGCTACGGGTAATCGCGAGAAACCGTCCGCGTTTCCATGATCCGCTGATTTTCTATATTTAATTTCAAAATTAAAAGCTTGCAGAAACACCGCGTAATGTTGCATGCGCATGGCGCTATACGCGGGTAATCCCTTTTTTGGATTAAAAATTTGTGCTAGTGGCTTGTGATCTGTAACTAAAGTAAAACGATTACCGTACAAAAATTGATGGAATTTTTTAATTCCGAAGATAATAGCATACGCTTCTTTATCGATCTGCGCATACTTCTTTTGCGTATCTGTAAGCGAGTTTGACGCACATTGTATAATTCGTTCTGTACCATCCGGATATGTGTGTGACAGTACCGCACCTACTCCGTACGAGCTGGCATCGGTGGCTAAAACGAGTGGCAACTTTGGATTAAAAGGTACCAATATTTTACTGCTTGCAAATTCTATTTTTGCACGATTGAATGCCCTCTCACATTCCTTCGACTATTTAAACGGAACATTCTTTTTTAGTAAATTGTTTAGTGGGCGCAACAAATCACTAAGATTTTTAATAAATCGACCATAATAATTTATCAATCCGATGAAGGCTCTCAACTCAGTAATATTATTAGGTCTAGGCATTTTGTGAACTGCCTCTATTTTTTGTCTTTCTTTAGAAATTCCATTTTTTCTAATTTCATACCCGCAATATGTAATACTTTCTTTTAAAAATTCGCATTTATCTTTATTAATACGTATGTTATACTTTGATAATCAATTCAAAACTAATTCCAATCTTTTCATATGTTCTTCCAGATTCTTCCCTGAAACTCTTATATCGTCTAAAAATACCGCAGTTCCTGGAATTCCGTTTAAAATATTTTCTATTGTTCGTTGCCATATCGCCGGTGCCGATGCCACTCCGTACATTAACCGATTGCATTTGTATAACCCCTTATGTGTATTTAAGGTTAACATTTCTCTATCCGATTCGGCTAATAATAATTGCAAATACGCTTGCTTTAAATCAATTTTTGAAAATAATTTTCCACCGGCCATAGACGCAAACAGTTCTTCGATAGTAGGTAAGGGATGTTCGTCCACAATTAATAGTGGGTTAACCGTGACGCTAAAATCACCGCAGATTCGGATCTGTCCGTTCTTTTTTAATACCGGCACGATAGGCGTAGCCCATTTTGATGATTCTACTTTTTCTAAAATTCCCGATTTAACCATGTTGTCTAATTCTACTTCTATTTTTTCTTTTAACTTAAATGAAACTGCTCGACTTTTTAAAAATACCGGTTTTGCATTATCTTTCACCTTTAAGTGTGCTTCCACATGCTGTATGAACGAAAATTCTTCGCTTACTACATTAGGATATTTCTTAAACAGTTTATCTAATAGATCTTGTCCGCTGACTTCGAGTGATTTAATGTCTTCCATTTCATTTAAACTGGATTTAACCTTCTCCAATAATTTTAACTGGTTAATCCATTCCCGTCCTAATAAAGGATCTCGATTATATCTAACTACGTACATATTCAATTCGCGTACTCTATCTACGTCACAAACTCGAACTCTTACATATCCCAATGGCGCAAAATGTTTTTTACAGTATGAGCGTAGTCTTAATTCCGTTTTATGTAACTTTAATCGCGGAAATTCGCGTTGTATCCACTGTTCGCTTACCAGTGTAACTGCCGCACCCCAGTCGACCTCAAAAGCGACTTTCTTATTTTCCAGGTGAAGAGAGACCGTGAACTTATCTCTTAGATGTGCATGTTCCATTTGCTCTAATTTGTACATTTCTTCCAATAACCGCGTTTGATTTTTCTTTTTGCATACTTTTTGCAAGTGTCCTAAACCTCCACACTCATGACATTTTACGTGTCGAGGCAGAGTGCAATTAGGCGCCAGATGGTTCTGTACACATCTGAAACAAGTAATATTATTTTTAAATTTCGTGGCGGATGTGCCTTAGATTTTACGCTTCCACTAGTAAAATTATTTTTCCCGTATTTATAATTTTTGTGTTGTCCCTTCGATTTGGCCTCCTTGTCCGCCGTCTTCTTGACCGCCTTAGCACCCGCTCCGACGAAATCCACCGCAACTGCGGCCTCTGTTTTGAGCTCGCTAACGCCCTTTTCCGCCAACTCCATTCCGCTGACTGTCTTCAAGGCTGATTCCATAGTTAAGTTCGCTGTTTCCAACAACCGTCCTTGTATTCGTTGGTTTCGCAATCCAAAAACAAACTGATTGCGAAGTTCCGTTTTGAGATATTCCCCAAATTTGCAGTGTAATGACAGCTTCTGTAATGCTGCCATATACTCTTGGACGCTTTCTTCAGGTTGTTGTAGCCTTTTCCGGAAAATATAAATTTCTGCGATCCCCAATGGTTCCGGGGCGTAATATTCTTTTAATTTATTTACCAGGTCAGCATATGCTAATTGGTATGGATCTTCTGGATCTAAACGGTCGCAAAGGTTTCCAAATGCTTCTACACCAATAAAGTGTAGTAAATAAGCGACCTTCTCTTCACCTTCCTGGATTCGAAATACTCGAAAGGCTCCTTCCAACCGTTGCAGCCATCTCAAAAAGGTCTGCTGTTTCGAGTCGAAAAAATCAACATTTATCATGTTGTATCCAGGAATATGCCCCGTTATCGATCCTGTAGGAGTACCAGTATTCCCGCTCGCCGATGATTCCGACACCGGGGGTCTTCCATCGTTCGGCATTGTCGACCACTTATTATACGTTTCAACTTGTTTCTTCTAAAATATGGCGCCACGTCCTCACCAAAAAAAAATTTTTCGCCGTTAACTTGTTGGCATGTACGCACTTACCCCTTTGTATTGCGTACCGTGCAACGAATAACCAAATCACGTCCTCGTCGCCAATTGTTGTATTTTAGTAATACATGGCTTTTATTACGTGGTTCGTTACAAGAGACAATTTTACACTTATTAACTCCGAGCGAGGAAATACTAAGAAAATGGTACTCCGGATTTAGACACGTGCTCTCACGTGCTCGTCTCGTGGTCGACTCTCCGCCGCGGTGGCCCTGCGCACCCGATTTCGTACCGACTTCACTTACGCCAATCAGCGTCTTACACGAGAGTTCGGCATGGGTTGCTCCAATTATCTGTTCGCAACTCGCGCTCTCTTTAAATGCCTATACCACCTCACGCAATACATATATATATATAACAATTTCATAATCTATAACAATCACACCTCGTTGATTTACTCAATTTTTTCCCTGTTGCTTATATTGCCTGAGGACGGAATAGCTGTAGCAACACCAATATGTGCAATATTAAGGAACGACATTAGTTGTGATGATTATACATGTATGTTGTTATAACCCAAGCGCTATCACGACACAAGACCTTGCATTTTGGCATAGCAACGTTTGTATGGCAACAAGCTAGCGGAAATGCAAGACTGCAAGCTCGGATTCCTCGAGCGCCAACGAAGGTCGCATGGACAAAGTACACCTGACTTGCCATATATGGTCGCGGGCCATCGCGCGATGTAATAGGACACTGAAAAACTTTTATATTCGGCCACCTAAACGTACAGAGAGTTCTATTAAGACAGTAATATTGACAACACGTTACGCGTCCGCGATAACCGGTATTAAGTTACGCAACCCCTTTCGAAAAAGACGCACGGGCTAGAGATTGTAATTCATGTAGTTATTGTAATCCCTCACGAAAATATTACATTCGACGGACCACACGCGTGTAGTTATTGTAATACAAATATTACAGTGGCCAACTTATTATAGTAGCGACACATATTATAAGGCTACAATTTATTACAATACAAGTTATTAGATAGATCGGAACATACACACGTGTGGTTACTACAGTATGTATA